ATTTAATTTATTTTGTTGATTTCTGGAAGGCTCATGTATTGGTCAATGGGTGTGCTGCAGTCTCCTCTTGTTCATATGTTCATGAACCAGAGACTCTCTTTCACCTCACTTATATCCTCCCTTCCTAAATAACACCACATGTAATATTCACCCTTGTGAATATGTATTGATTCATACGAAATTACTCAAGGAATTTCCACTTTCCTTCTTAGTTAGAAACAAAACAAAGACGACTATCGACTTCCTCGTTAAAAACAGTCCCAAGCCGACTTAAAACCCTTTACAACAGTCGATCATAGTATATATGTACACCTGCCCTCACGAAGGATGTAACCTTCAATCTAAGTTCATAGGTATGACGTCGACCAAGCTGACGAGGCGCATGACCTGTCATCTTCAATCAGGTGCCACTAAAAATCACACGAGACAAGCCCATGACATCACCCTGACAGGAGAAATGTTGAATAAAAACACTTGTATAATAAACAAAACCAAAGATGTAAGATTGCAAATTCTTGAAGCAATCCACATACAAATAAAACAACTGACCATAAATACCCCAATAACGAAACTTCACTCTACCCACCATGAGAGTAAGAACAAGGCAGGAACGTCTAGATGCCAACCTAGAAGACGCTGCTCAATATGACACGCCCACTACACCTGATTAATCTTCCTGTTTCCTCCCCTTTTTTGACCATTCGTCCCTATTTCCGTCCCCCATTTATGCCCTATTCTTCCTACCTTCATGCTGTACTACTCACCTACTTGTCGTATGTACCAGGAGGCCTGGTCGAGGACCGGACCGAGGGGATGTTGAGCCCCGAAATCATCACAAGGTTAGGTCCCAAGGGACCTCCCTAATGGTATAAATTCAATATGCCCTGTACAGTCCCATCACTTGAGAATGAACCATGTAAGTTCGAAACGTTGAGTAAATTTATAATAAGTGAACTATATTCTATAGTAAGTTATTTCTTTTAGTTCACCTCGAACAAAGATGACATTTGAAGAAAGCCTCGTCCAATTATACCAAGACGCAAGAGCACTCAGAGAGATAGAAGCCCTAAACAAGAAAATAATTAATACAGAGTCAAATTCAATGAAATTATATATAACTACATATATATTGTGTAATTTTTTTGTGTAATTGTGTAAATAATTGTGTGTAAAATTGTGTAATCTTTTTTTGTGTAATGACATTTTCAAATAAAGTTAGATAAATATACACACATATCAAAAGAATAGGGGTGGTACGAGAAGAAAATATCAAAGTGTTCAGTGAGGATCCACAAGGTCTTCTCTGAGAACTCTTTATTTTCTTCTCCGAGGCTATGGGTCCCTACACTTGCACCAGAGGTGGTACCCCTTCTAGGTTAAAAAAAAAATTATATATATAATTTTATATATATAATATATACACACTATATATATATATATATATATATATATATATATATATATATATATATGTCGTACCTAGTAGCCAGAACTCACTTCTCAGCCTACTATTCAAGGCCCGATTTGCCTAATAAGCCAAGTTTTCCTGAATTAATATATTTACTATAATTTTTTTCTTATGAAATGATAAAGCAACCCTTTTCTCTATGTATGAGGTCAATTTTTTTTTATTGGAGTTAAAATTAACGTAGATATATGACCGAACCTAACCAACCCTACCTAACCTAACCTAACCTATATTTATAGGTAAGGTTAGGTTAGGTAGCCAAAAAAAGCTAGGTTAGGTTAGGTTAGGTAGGTTAGGTAGACGAAAAAGCATTAATTCATGAAAACTTGGCTTATTAGGCAAATCGGGCCTTGAATAGTAGGCTGAGAAGTGCGTTCTGGCTATTAGGTACGACATATATATATATATATATATATATATATATATATATATATATATATATATATGTCGTACCTAGTAGCCAGAACGCACTTCTCGGCCTACTATGCAAGGCCCGATTTGCCTAATAAGCCAAGTTTTCCTGAAATAATATATTTTCTCTAATTTTTTCTTATGAAATGATAAAGCTACCCATTTCATTATGTATGTGGCCAATTTTTTTTATTGGAGTTAAAATTAACGTAGATATATGACCGAACCTAACCAACCCTACCTAACCTAACCTATCTTTATAGGTTAGGTTAGGTAGCCAAAAAAGTTAGGTTAGGTAGTCGAAAAACAATTCATGAAAACTTGGCTTATTAGGCAAATCGGGCCTTGCATAGTAGGCAGAGAAGTGCGTTCTGGCTACTACGTACGACATATATATATATATATATATATATATATATATATATATATATATATATATATATATATATATATATATATATATATATATACACACACACACACACACACACAATATATATAATTAGGCATAGTTACATATAATTATATATATACTGTAGTTATAACTATATATATATACAATTATATATATATTATTACATATACAATTATAATTATGTATTATTATAGTTATATACACAATTATATAGATAACTATACCTAATTATATATACATAATTAGATATATATAATTATATATATAGTTATAACTATATATACATTATAATATACATATATTTATAATATATATATATATATAATTATAGATATATATAATTATATATAGTTATAACTATACATAGATATAATTATAATATAATATATATTATATATATAAATTTATATAAATAAATTATATATATAAACTATACTGTACATATATATATATATATATATATATATATATATATATATATATATATATATATATATATATATGTACCTAGTAGCCAGAACGCACTTCTCAGCCTACTATGCAAGGCCCAATTTGCCTAATAAGCCAAGTTTTCATGAATTAATATTTTTTCGACTACCTAACCTAACGTAACCAAACATTTTCGGCTACCTAACCTAACCTAACCTATAAAGGTAGGTTAGGTTAGGTTAGGTAGGGTTGGTTAGGTTCAGTCATATATCTACGTTAATTTTAACTCCAATAAAAAAAAGTGACCTCATACATAATGAAATGGGTAGCTTTATCATTTCATAAGAAAAAAATTAGAGAAAATATATTAATTCAGGAAAACTTGGCTTATTAGGCAAATCGGGTCTTGAATAGTAGGCCGAGAAGTGCATTCTGGCTACTAGGTACGACATATATTATATATATATATATATATATATATGTCGTACCTAGTAGCCAGAACTCACTTCTCAGCCTACTATTTAAGGCCCGATTTGCCTAATAAGCCAAGTTTATCCTGAATTAATATATTTACTATAATTTTTTTCTTATGAAATGATAAAGCAACCCTTTTCTCTATGTATGAGGTCAATTTTTTTTTATTGGAGTTAAAATTAACGTAGATATATGACCGAACCTAACCAACCCTACCTAACCTAACCTATATTTATAGGTTATTAGGTACGACATATATATATATATATATATATATATATATATATATATATATATATATGTCGTACCTAGTAGCCAGAACGCACTTCTCAGCCTACTATGCAAGGCCCAATTTGCCTAATAAGCCAAGTTTTCATGAATTAATATTTTTTCGACTACCTAACCTACCTAACGTAACCAAACATTTTCGGCTACGTTACCTAACCTATAAAGATAGGTTAGGTTAGGTTAGGTAGGGTTGGTTAGGTTCGGTCATATATCTACGTTAATTTTAACTCCAATAAAAAAAAATTGACCTCATACATAATGAAATGGGTAGCTTTATCATTTCATAAGAAAAAAATTAGAGAAAATATATTATTTCAGGAAAACTTGGCTTATTAGGCAAATCGGGTCTTGAATAGTAGGCCGAGAAGTGCATTCTGGCTACTAGGTACGACATATATATATATATATATATATATATATATATATATATATATATATATATATATATATATATATATATATATATATATATATATATATATATATATATATATATATATATATATATATATATATAATGCGTGTTAGTGGCTTTGCAGGAATGTAAATATACCAATATTATGTAATCGCACAAACCTCTTGTACTTTCCTGTATATAAATAAATAAATAAATGTATATCAAAGTGTTAATTGAGTAGTAGAGTAGTAAGAGCGACCTCACCTCCGGGTGCTAAGCCTTCACATCTTGACCCAAGTGACCCACACATTATACACACAACCTTCCCTACGTCACTCTTAACACCATCATAATACATTACGGGCTAGTCATGCCCGTGCCACCTCTTGGCTGGCTTAATCTTTATCACTCATGATAATACAACCCATTAGCATTAAGCCACAGTCAGGTAAACACATATGGTAGGCTTCTACTAATTAGTTTTCCAAGACATACAATACTCCTTACACAGGCTCCCACATATGATTAATTTGATTAATAATTCATTGTGTCGGGGACAGGCAGTCTGTTTATATATATATATATATATATATATATATATATATATATATATATATATATATATATATATATATATATATATATATATATATATATATATATATATAGTACACATTCGGCTTATATCCAGGTCCCCGCCATCCAAGGGGGAAACCCAACTACAAGCTAACTCCTGTTAGGTGAACAGGTGCATAAGGTAACATGAAACGAGCCCAACCATTTTCCCCGGCTTGGGATTCGAACGCGGAATTCTCGACTGAGTCACGAAGGAACACGCCTGTATTACCGAGATCCTTATAACATATACACTCACAACCAGCGGGGTGGCCCCCGGTGGCCCCCACATAGGGTGGCCCTCTCAGGGTAGCCCCGGTGGCCCTCCCAGGGTGGCCCTGGTGGCTCTCACACGGGGTAGCCCCTACATGGGGTGGCCCCTGGTGGCCCACACACGGGGTGGCCCTGGTGGCCCACACACGGGGTGGCCCTCCCAGGGTGGCCCTGGTGCCAGAGTGCCTCAAGACGCCTCAAGACACAAGAGTAAGACAAGAGGTACTCACAGCTTCTCCACCCAGTCTGGGATGTCTGCTGGTACCGTGGTGATGCCCGTCCTCGAGCAGTCCACTATGGCCCCCAGGCAGCTGCACACGTGGGGGCAGCTGGCGGCGGCGGCCCCGGCCCCACACAGCAGCAGCAGGAGGAGGAGGACCTGCACCATAATGGTCACCCACAACACTCTCTTCTCCGCCGCCATCTTCCCCAAGGACAAGACCAATATGCCCTAAATTACGTAATATTTGGCATAATTGGCCACACTATTCACTCGCAATTGTTTCCCACTCCACTGCACCACCAGTGTCAAGGTAAACTCGTAGACTCTGGCAAGTTTACAGCCAAATTGGTCAAAAACTACACTATGTTAGCGGAGCGACGAGCGACACAACCACTCCCACCCGCGTCATGTCACACACTGAGCCTAATGTGTAGTGAGAAGCCGGTTATGATTGGCCAGCCGCGGCTCCCACACGCGCTCTCATTGGTCTCTTCCTTATAAGATCTCTCGCCCCATTGGCCAGATACCGATTAATTATCTTCATTGCATGTTGTGATTTGGAAATCGCCAACATCGTGACTGCGGCCGCCAGATAATTGAGATAAAAGTTGCTTTATTTACAAGTAGAGTGTACATACACCTGCGAGGCACCCAGTATGGCGGTGTTGGCACCCGTGGTGCAGTGTGGCGCCTCTACACCTCATTATCTACACCCTCACACACCTCTACTCTCACTCACACAATCACCTCTACTCTCACTCACTCATTGTTTAGGCCTAAATATTACAGTTCACTTTAAGTGGTCAATAGAGAGCACTGAACCACTCTGGAGTGTGATAGCAGTGAGCCCGACTCCTCACACACACTTCCTTCTGACCTTCACCATATCAGCCCAGCCTCCAATATTGATATTCCTTACACCAAGTGTTTGGGCTAACCTACAAAAACGGTCACGTTTGGTATTAGTGCACCAGTTGACCAATTACACTAAACAAATTACAAATAACACAAGACCCTAACCTAACCTCTCCTTGCGGTCATACTACGCCCAGTAGTCCATATATACTGTACTCCACTAGGCCTGGGAAATGTTAAGTTTGTTTCTGGCTTTTCTTTTTCGTGGTCTCTGCAGAAATACTAGTACAAACGGTGAACATTGTTGGCTACAACAGTCCACTTTTGTACGTTGGACCAAATAGTTAGTATAAGTAGTACCATTTGAGGTGGGTGGGCTGGTCATGTGACCTGGAGCGAGGGGTCAACACGCCCACATTGTTAGTGGCCTCCACCGTAACAATGGCTCAGATGTGCACTATTAGGCCTACTGCTCTCTACATACCAAACACGATCTGTGCATCAAAACATGGTACAGGAGCCTATTGGTCCGTGGGAGTCACCTCTTGGTAATATCCACCCAAACTTCTTCATATATGTCTCACCTACGCCTGAAACAATCCATCGGTCTCACGTCTGTTATGTTACCCAGAGAGGTAAGGTCATTCTCAGGAGAAAGCCCCAAGCCATTACCACTATAGAGCACTTGGAAGGGATCAGGACAATTACCGCTCCTATGCCAGGTAAGTTCACTATATATGGGCTCGCCATAGCCCGTGCTAGTTTGAACTTGTTCCGAGTAGTTGAATCTATAACAACAACATGGGATGAGACTGGGAGAAAGGAATGGTGCCCAACCACATGGACTGTGGTCGGGGATTGAACGCCGACCTGCATGACCGTCCAGTCAAAGTAGTTGGCCTATATTACCTGGTAAATTGTTCCATAAATCAACTGTTTCCAAACCAGTATTTACCCAGGTCTTTCCTGAATGTAAACTTAGTCAATTTGTATCCCTCGTTTAGAGTTGTATTTTGTGTTGATATAATTAACATTTTTTATTAACATAAATTTTAAATGTTTTAAATATTAATTTTGTTTTAAAATTAACATAAAATTTTAATTTTATAATTTAAATATAGTAAATTTTTTTAATTAAATTAAATTTATTTTAAATTAATTTTTTTAATTAAATTTAAAGTAAATTAAATAAATATAGTAAATTTAAATGTAGTTTGGGAGCCGGTCGGCCGAGCGGACAGCACGCTGGACTTGTGATCCTGTGGTCCTGGGTTCGATCCCAGGCGCCGGCGAGAAAAAATGGGCAGAGTATCTTTCACCCTATGCCCCCTGTTACCTAGCAGTAAAATAGGTACCTGGGTGTTAGTCAGCTGTCACGGGCTGCTTCCTGGGGATGGAGGCCTAGTCGAGGACCGGGCCGCGGGGACACTAAAAAGCCCCGAAACCATCTCAAGATAACCTCATGATAACACCTTATTAACATGGTCCTTGTTGTGCCCTACGGTGCCCCGCCAAGAGGAGCAGTTGGTAATGTCTGTCTGTCCATACCAGGTGACGTTAATTGCCGACTAGACAAAAATTGCTGACCCGGTAACTATCATTAACTGACAACTGGGAAGACTCGTCTGGACCGACTGACACGGACGAGAGCCTCGGACGCGGTCCACTTACCTGCACTGTGGCTGTTGCTCTGCCTCTTAGCCGGGGTCTGCGCCGGGTGGTAGGACGTGACAGGATGTGGCAGGCTGTGACAAGCCATGTGTTACGGCCAGCTTGGGCCAGTAAGCGGGTTCTTTCTGTTAATGTGTCTTATAACCTTTTCTTGATCCTACCCCAAGTCGATGGCAAGTTTTCAAGAACTGACTCTGGCAAGTAGTAGTGCAAAGAATAAAGGGGCGGGGGGGGGATAAACAATATGCAATTACACCTTCACCAATATATATATATATATATCATATCTCCAAGTATATAACTACACATATTTACATCACTCAAAAGATCTGCAGTGTTCAAGTCCCGGCAAGTCCACTACGTCCAGGTACACGTCGTCCACACTTAATGGTAATCACCGGCGAGTTCACCTTCCTCAACATGGGCCAGTCCACACACACCGTTTCATCACGATATTCTAACACTCCACAGCCGCTCTCCAGAAACCGCTCTTAGCAGTCCACTGCCAAGAGACCGCTCTTAGCAGTCAGCTGCTAAGCGGTCCACTGCCAAGAGACCGCTCTTAACAGTCTCCGTGGCGTTGGCGTACTGGTAAGACGCTCGCCTGGCGTTCCGCGAGCGCTTTGTCCTGGGTTCGTATCCTGGCCGGGAAGGATTTACTGGATGCAAATCCTTAACTGTAGCCTCTGTTTAACTCTATATTAAAATAGGTACCTGGTTGTTAAACTATTCTTCGCTGGCGTCGTATTCCAGGGACCATAGGATTAAGGACTTGCCCGAAATGCTACTCGTACTAGTGGCTGTACAAGAATGTAAAAACTCTTGTATATATACAAAAATAAAATAAAAACACACTGGCAGAGGGCTTCAGCCACAAGCTGACAGGGGTCTCAAATAATCACATACAGGGGTAGCTAACACCCTGGCAGAAGTCTCTAGCAACACACTAGCAGCACTTCTCAACAGATGCACTACTGGCGTCTGGTAACTCTTCTTGGCCCAATCCCGAGTACGTCGGTCCATACAACGCTGCATAAATCCAGCAGCTAACACACTGCTACTACCGACGGCGGTCACTTTGTCCTCTCACAGGACCAAGTCAAGAGTTCTGGACGGCCCAATGTGAACTGCCTTCCTCGGCACAATTGCCTCATTACGTCACCTCTGTGAACATAAAACGTCATTAGCTAGACAGACAGTATACTGGGTGACCATAGGATAACATCCTTTCACCGGGAAATTGAAACTGTAATTGCTTTCACAACCTTTGAAAATTGATAACGTTACGCCACCCACCAGAAGTCATCATCATCGACCTCGCCTTCTACCTGAGGTATGAAACAGGAGCCTTTGAACGACGCCACACCACAGCCAACAGACGTTGGCTGTGTGTTTGCATCGCACCAACTACCTGGAAGTTAGAGTGCAGGTCCATAGATGGTGCCGAAATCATCACTCCCCCACTCCGGCGATGGTGTCGATACCGTAACACCATGGTAGGACATGGCAGGTCATTGTAGGACGTAGCAGGCTGAGGTAGGTCATAATAAGCCATGGCAGGACTTGGCAGGCCATGCAGGCAGGAGTAAGAGAGCTTGTAGCCACAAGCCTGGCACTGCAGCCTGTATGTGCAACCCGTTCTCGCACTTTCTTATAGTCAATATTGACTTATTAAATAAGTGCATATGTGACATACTAATTTATTGTGAATATTTTAGTTTACCTTGAAAAGCTTCATAGAAAACACCGACCTTACCTAACCTTGTTAGTATGTTAAGATAAGCATCTTATTGCTTCGTAATTACAATTATTACTTAACCTATTATAGGTATAGGTTATGTAATAATTGTAATTACGAAGCAATAAGATGCTTATCTTAACATACTAAGAAGGTTAGGTAAGGTCAGTGTTTTCTATGAAGCTTTTCAAGGTAAACTAAAATATTCACAATAAATTAGTATGTCACATATGTACTTATTTAATAAGTCAATATTGACTATAAGAAAGTGCGAGAACGGGTTGCAACGTGCGGGCATATTACACAGCGGTGACGTGCAGGCTGGCCGCTATGAGTGATGCCGTGGGGGGGGGGGGGTCCCGGGGGAACAAGTACACATCACTGCAAGTCTTGACAACATTTGTCATGACGTGATGTATATACTCGTCATAATGTTATGACCAGTATATACATCAACCCGTCCTAAGGCTGTGTTCATTCCATCCAGCGAGCGACCCCCAAAGACACATTCAACAATTTTAACACGTTGTTAATTCAGAATTGGAATTTTCTCAAATATAAATTTTTATTGTATGCGTGGCCCAGCGGTAAAGCGCTCACTTGGCGCTTCACGAACGCTTGGGCCTGGGTTCGTATCCTGGCCGGAGAGGATTACATAAGAACATAAGAACAAAGGTAACTGCAGAAGGCCTATTGGCCCATACGAGGCAGCTCCTTTCTATAACCACCCAATCCCACTCATATACATGTCCAACCCACGCTTGAAACAAACCAGGATTGATTGGACACCAATCCTTTGGGATCGACCGCTGGATGGAATGGACTTTGGCCCGTGTGTATGACCACGGGATGTATACATACTAGAGGAAGTGTTGGCATGTTTTGCTGCGGCTCACTTTGAAGTCAACATTCCCGCGCTCAACACTCCCGCCACATTTTTCATAAATCAAACTTGAACATATTTCTCAGCCTAAGCTGAGCACTATACTACCAAGTTTCAACAGAAATATTAGCAATGTACGAACAATATATAATACCGTGGATATGGTCATCTATAACTTATACACAAATATATCACATTTGCCTGAATCATAAGGGTAGAGGCAGCTCTTTGGACGGCTGCCCTAAGTCACGTGACTGAGGGCACTGCTTGGCGATGATAATAATGGCGCCG